GCTTATATCTTATCCCCTTCACAAGGCGCTGTGTTCTTGCAGGTGTGGATGTAGTCTGGCTGTTGTCCTGTGTCTTCTGGTCTCTCTTTTAGGAAGAGTTGTATTTGTTGTATTTTCAAAAATATATGTGGTTTTGGGAGGAGATTTCCACTGCTCTCCTCACGCTGCCATCTTGGCTCCCCTCCTCGAGACTTATTTTTCTTTAACAAGACAACATGCCATATTTTTCTGGGGTGACAGTGTGGTTATACCATATACCTGTTTTATAAGTGCCTGAGGGGCATTATATTATAATAGAGTTATAGAAAACCTTTGGAATTACTTAAAAGAATGGTTAAATGATAAAATTGTATATGTGACTTTTTACAAAGTACTTGGAAATATAAAGCCTTAGCTTTCTGAGGTGGTTTTCTCTTTTTTTTTTTGTATCAGTGAAATGGAGATGATGGTACTCTCATAAGGCTTTTATTTGAGCTAAATTAACTGCATTAACAAATATAAAGCACCTGATACACAGCCAGAAACAACAGAGGCACAGTCAATGGTAGCAGTTCCATTTTTTATGTTTTCCCTTCATTTGCAGATGTTTACAGCACTCTTTGCTATTTGGGATGATATTTGTAGGCCATCTATATTTTTATGTTTTTAAAGGAAACAGAAGTGTCAGGTTTTTTTAAGTTTATTAAAGGACATTTTTCAACTTCATTTGAATGTGCACTTGTATAAAACCTCATTCTGTGGACCAAAGGGAAAGGGACTGGGGATGATGGGTGGGAAGGGAGGGATAAGGGCGGGAAAAAAGAAAGGGGGCATTACGATTAGCATGTATAGTGTTGTGGGGGGGTACAGGAGGGCTGTACAACACAGAGAAGACAGGTGGTGATTATACAGCATCTTGCTACGCTGATGGACAGTGACTGTACTGGTTGGGGGGGGAACTTGGTGAGGGGGGGAGCCTGATAAACATAGTGTTTTTCATGTAATTGTAGATTAATGATAGCAAAAAAAAAAACCTCATTCTAATGATTTAAGTGAAAGGATTATGTTATATAGTATATTGTGCCTGTTTGCAAGTATTATATTGGTCTACTTCACTACAGAGTTTAATTTTCTAGTCCACATAAAGTGACAAAATTGAAGTTATTTTCATTTCTTAATAGGGAAGGTGTCTGTTTGCCAGTGGCAGTCCATTTGGGCCAGTGACACTTAGTGATGGGCGACTCTTTACACCAGGTCAAGGCAACAATGTCTATATTTTTCCAGGTAAACGCCACCAGTATTTATGTCATAGAGCAATAACTAATTACAGTAAAATGTTTCATGAAATTAGAATTTAAGATGAAAATGAATAGCAATATTTACAGGATTTTGGTATGCATGTTCAGGGACAGTCAAGAAATTTTGCAAATTCAATTTGCTCTATTTTCCCTGAAAACTTATTTATTCTAATTGTTCATTTAACTTGTTTTTATTATAGGAATAATAAGCATGGTTCATAAAAATGTAGGAGGAACAGAATGTTATAATTATTAAACCCTCTTTGTGTCCTTGGAACCCCACTGTCACGCTTAGCTATAACCACTCTTCAGGGTTCACTTTCAGATTTTTCTGATGGTTACCATCATGACTAGTAGACTTACCTCCTCTTATCTTAATTCTTAACAACTCTAGACTGTGTGTGTGAACTTCCCACTGTGAAATATAGGTAATAGTACTAATACCTTACTTCTTCTACCTCTCAATGTGTGTCACTACTTTTCGTTTTCCTAGTAGTATCTTGAGACAGTTTTTATTCACCTGCCACAGTGAAAAATGAAAAAAAAATTGGTACTTAAGTTCCTTATCTCTTATTATCCATCTCTAAATTTTAGTCAGACAGTATTTCTCCATTATAGGGAGGGTTGTTTTTTTTTTACATCTACATTGTGTTCTATTGTTTTCCATGTTTTGCATATAGATAGATGCTAAAATTATAGATAATGTTATGCACATCCAAATAAAGAAGTGATTTGATAGATACAGTAGAAAATGTGCTTCTGTGTCACAAAATTTTTGACCCTCAGAGTAAAGTGTTTCAAGGGTCAAGTAATGAATCCTCCTCTAAAGTGCCGCCAGCTTTCTTCATTCCTCCAGCCCTACTCCCCAGAAAGTTGCTCCTTGTGTCTCATGTAGCTCACTCTTTTCACACACATGTGCACTATTCCTCTCTGGTCTCATTATTCTGCAATACGTCTTTGAATATGTTTTTTTTGTAAAACATGGGTGAAAACTTCCTGAGTTTTTACATATCTGAAAATGTCTTTATTTTGTCCTCTCTCTTGATAGTTTGGTTGGGTAGCGATTTGTATATTCACAGTCATTTTTTTCAGACCTTTGAAAACATTTCCCTGTTCATTCTTAGTGGCTGAAGAGAAAGGTGGTGTCAGTGAAAGTCTCATTTCTTTATACGTATTAGCTTTTTCTTCCAAAATGTTAAAATTTTTCTCTTTATCATTAGCTATCTGAAAGGTTACTGAGATGCATCCAGTTTTGGGCTTATTTCAATTATTTATCATGTGTTTCTCTGTGGGTGGACCAGCTCACTATATCTTCCTTCCCAAAAGGTTTTTTAAAACTTCTTCCCCCCTCATTTCTTTCCTCCTATTTCTGTTTTTTCCTCATGGAACTTGTGTTAGATTGTGGTCAAATCCCTACATTGTCCTTGATTTGTAAGTTATATTTCACATTTTCACCTCTGCCTTTTTTATTCCATAATATCGGGGGATTTCTATCATGTTCATTCATTCACCTGTATCTGTTCTGGTTTTTTTTGTACTCATAGTGTATGTTTAATTTAAAAGTCTTTTTGATTATGGAAAATTTCAAATGTACAAAAGTAGAAGGAAGAATGAAGTCCTGTGTTCCAATCTCCTACCTTTCAGCAGTTATCAACATGTGGTCATTCTTATTTAATCTCTCTTTCCACCCACTCCTACTTCATTGGGTTATTTTAACGTAAATCAGAAACATCATATCATTTCATTATAACTACTTCAGTATGTATCTCTGAAATAATTTTTAAATTAAATATAACCATAATACTGGTATTATATCAAAGGAAATCAACAATTGTTTAATATCATATATCATCAGTTCAGTAGATTCAAACTTTTTTTATTCCCAATACATTTTTCTAGTCCTAGAATCACTCTTCTTTAATAGCTGCTTTTATTTCTTTTAAGGGTTGCAGTATCATCCCTTCAGATGTTGCCTGAGAGTTACTAAGATTCTTTTAAATATTTATTTCTTTGTTCTGTTTATTTTCCATAAATTTATGGTGATCTTTAGTTCACTCATGAAAGATTATGTTGAGTAAAATAGGGATTTAGCACAAACGTTTGTTGTATACCCATTGTGTCTTTCTCCATGTGGCCCTCTCCCTGAATAGCTGACAGCAAGTTTTAACTAAGATATCCTACCATAAAGAGGGAGTAACAAAACTAGGAAGAAGTGGGATTTAGGATATGGACTCAACTTAGAAAAATGCAAAGGGAATCCTCATGAACATAGAGGGGTTTTCTAGAATGACAACTCCATTTCTGGAATGGAGAGCAACCAGACTAGATGGAGCTTCTGCAGAGACTTACTCTGGAGGATTAAATTAGAGAACATGTGAGGTGACTGAAATACTAGAAGATGATTTAGATAATTGAATGATCATCTCAGCATGAAATAATTTGAAGTGTTAACACATAGCTCAGCTGTGAACAGCACTTTAAGAAGTCTTAATAATATAAACATTGAATATTGATTCAACCAAGATTATATTATAACTATACAGGGAAGAAGGGTGGAAATGTGAAAGAAAGCTAAATACTTATTTTTCACAGGAAGGAGACAATGATTTCTAAAACTCAGAAGTCAGAAAAAATATACACAAGCTGTTTAAAAGTGAAAGAGATAAATACTAAAATAATCAGCTAAAAGAATTAAAAGTAGTTGCCTCTTTAGAGCAAAAAATGGAGGGTTAAAGGTGGGCTCAGAATTGATGTTTTCATAACAAGTGTTGATGAGTTTATTCATTTGTATTTTTGGTAAGTGTAAAAAACTAAATTGAGAAAAGCCATTTCATATTTGTAAAATTATTTCTTCTAGTAAATAAGAATTGTAATAGTCATTTGGTTTCAACACTCAGTTTCTATGTTTTCTTGGAGGCTCTTTGGGGTGGGGTAAGTTACAATTAATTTGCTTTAAATGAGGAATTTATTTGGCTTCTTTCATAATTTGAAAAGTGACTTTACTGAATAAACAATTTTAAATGTTTTCTAGGCGTGGCTTTAGCCGTTATTCTCTGTAACACCCGGCATATTAGTGACCATGTTTTCCTAGAAGCTGCAAAGGTAAATATTTTAAGTATTATTAGGCTATTTTATAAAGGACGAATTATAAAAATGAATGGATCTCAAAAGTAGAGAAAGAGGGAATGGGTTAAATCTGCCTTATGAATAGAGAGGAAGTTACTCGCCCATTGCTTTTGCGATTTGCCTGTCTACTTCTCCATAAAATTAATTTTTTTATCATGATTTCATAGTGTTTTTTAGCATGTCAAAAAGTCTTTAAATATGGTGATTTCTATATTGTTTAGTTATGAACAGTGTTAATTTTTGTAGTAGTTTTAAGTGAATTCCTTCTAGAAATAAAGAGAATTATATTACCTGTATTATTCTGTACTTGCTCAACCCTTTTTCCATTTTATTAAGTCCTTATTATTCTGTTATTTAAATAAAGTAAAATGCTGTTTTTCTCTTCAGGCATTGACAAGTCAATTGACAGATAAAGAGCTAGCCCAAGGGAGACTTTACCCACCACTAGCTAATATTCAGGAAGTTTCTATTAACATTGCTATTAAAGTAAGTAAGAATTTCTACCTCTTTGCATAAATTTTAATGGTGTTTTCTTATGCAAGTGGCACAAGTTTATTAGAGGGAAATCTGAAACATTTAGAGGGTTTAAAGAAGAAATTTTAGGTCACTTAAATTCTTAGTACCAGAATATAACCCTCATTATTATTTTGGATTTGTTGCCTTTTAGTCATTTTTTCTTCCCAGACACACACAGATACAAATGCACATACATGCACTGTCTTCTGTGCCTATTTGTCATTGTTTTCTCACTGCACTTTTTTCCACTGAGTATATTACAAGCTTTTCCCTAGGTAAATCAATAATAATTTTCATGTGTGTTCATTAGTACAGCATGGTATTATTCTCTTTGTTATTATATCATAATTTGCTAACCAGTTCTGTTTTTGGGCTTTTAAGTGTATTCATTTTGTTAGAAATAATATGGTAGTGAACTTAGATAAGTCTTTATGTACATTTGTGATTGTTTTTCCTTAAGATAATCATAAGACCGAAAGGCAGTAACATGCTAAGGCTTCTGATATATATTGCCAAATATCTCTTCAAGAGGAAAGTGTTGATTACACTGTACCTGTTAGATGTGAGAGTATCTGTTTTCCCACACTTTTGCTAATACTTGGAATTTTTTTTTTTTTAGGATTGCCTATTTAATAGGTAAAACTGTAACTCACTTTTATTTAAAGAATTTTATTACTGGGATTGAAGAATATTTTTTGCTTATTGACACTTATTTGTTGAACTACCTATCATGACCTTTGCTTATGTTTATATTATGATACAGTCTCCTTTCTAATATAATTCATAAGGACTCTTTATATATTTAGGGTAGTGATCCATCTATTTGCTATGGTGCAGGTATTTGTCATTTATTTTCACTATTGTTTGATGTGCCATTTTTCAAAAGTTTTTTTATGGAATGACCTGTTTATTTTATGAATTGTTTCTTCACCTTTTGTGAATGTTAATGCCTTCTCCCACTCCAAAATCATATTAATATCTACCTGTATTTTCTAACAGCAAAGTTTTTAAATTCATCTGAGATTTATTTTAGTGTGTGATGTGAGACAGAGAAACATTTTTTTCTAAGTAGTCATCCAGTTGCCCCAGCTTTAATTGATGAAAATGCTACTTCTAGTAATGTAAAATTCTTAAATCTGTTCCTGGGAGTCTGTTCTTGACTATCTTTGTCTGACTGTTAGGTACTGTTTATATGTATTATTTGATACTATGTATTTCCCATCATTATGATTTTTTTTCAGTATTTTTTTGTGTGCTCTACACTGTTTATTCTTTCAGATGAAGTTTTCTATCAGTTTTTTGAATTCAAAGAAAACCCTGAAACTATAAAATTATGCCATATTTATATATTAAATTGGTGAAATAAAGTCTTCCAGTATTGACTCCTCCACATTCATTATCTGTAAGCTTACCAAGGTCTTTTTTTTTAAAGTCTTTCAATATAATTTGTGTTATTTTCTTCACCTAAATATGGTATCTCTTATTATTTTCCTAGATAAATTTAAAATTTTTCTTTCCATATCCATTTCCTCACTGGTCATTTTTAATCTGTGGGAAAGTATTAATTTTTATGAGTTTCTTTATAACTAGTTTCTTTCAACAATATTAATTATTTTCATAGTTTCTCAGTACTTTTATAATTGTTAAATTTTGAATAGTCTTTAAATGATTTTTCTTTTTAAAATATGGATAGGTCTTTTTTCCCCATCTTACTAAATTCACTGGTACTTAAGAACCATTTTAAGCAATTGGGTTAATAAAGACATCCCTGTATTTTAATGTTAAATGTGATGCTAGCTTTTGATTGAAATAAGTATTTTATCTTTTAAAGAAGTAGGCTTCTATTCCTAGTTTACTAAGGTTTTCTTAAACATCAGGATTGGATGTGGAATTTATCAACCACATGTTCAACTTGTATACTAACAATCATAAGATTTTACCCCTTTGACTATTAATGTTACTGTTGCATTAATTTTAATGCATAAACTAAGCAAAGATTGGGAATTGGTAAAGGATATATTTAGGAAATAGTAACCAATCCAGTTGAGCTGGAGTGTAAGGTATAGGTAGGAAAATGACTTAAGACAAAATTTGAAAGTTACCTTAAGGCCAGTTTGTACAGATACACAAATGCCAGACTGGAGTCTGAATACCTCATTATTGCAAAACAACTGAGGATTTTAGAGCCTAGAATTAGACTGAACAGAGTTTAACTTTAGAATTTACAGAATGATATTACAGATTTGGAAGATACCAGTTAAGAGATCACTGTTGTTTCCAAATGAAAGGTAACACAGGAGGAACAGAAGGTCTGCGCTTGGTGTTGGTGTAGGAGCACAGCCCCAGGGTCATGTCTCTTCCCCTTGCCCTCCTCAGGGCAGACTTTACCCCTTCTCCATTTGCTTAAGGCTCCCCTTTTTAGAAGCAAGGTGTCGGAAAGGTACTGTGTCTGCCCTCCATCCCAACCCAAGGCCACTGAGCTTCTACTGAGAGCCATCAGTCCCCTCCTGCATGCCTGCCTCACCACTGAGAACTCACTGCAATCTCATGCCTTGCTCCCAGACTTTTCTGTATGTACAAATATTTTTTCTACAGAAGACTAGAAAATAAAAACACATTTTCCATCACAAAATATAGTGATATTAAGCTCCTGGGACCAAGTATTATTTTTTATAACCACCATTTTTTGGTTAAGTTTTCCTTTAATAAAACGGAAATAAACTTTAATAATGGTCACTATTTGGAATGGGAATTGGAGGAGAGGAAGAATGACAGTTGTTTGAATGTTTTTTTTTTTTTTTACCATTTGTTACTTTTTTTTTTTTTAAGTTAAAGTGGAACCGTACTGTATGACAGGTACTGTGCCACCCTGTGAGGAAGCTTTGCGTACTTCCTTATTATACATCAAAACTGAGGCTCACAGGGTTTGTTCTCACCACTTGTCATGGTATGCAGCTTGGCTGCAAATACCATAAATCCATAGGCCAGTTTAGGTGGGAATAATCTAGCTTAACTATTTAGGGTCTAGAATCTAGAATAAGAATGCTTTGGATTTGAAACACAGCTCTCACTTAACTACCTTGGGCAAGTCACTTAAACTCCTCAGACTTTGGTGCCCTTATATGGAACATGAGAATACCAATAATAGTCCTTACCTCATAGGGTTCTTATGAGGATTAAATGAGATACCTGTGTCAAGTACAGAGAACATGCCTGGCACTCGATGATGTGCTGAGTTGCCATTTATAGATTCTAGCCCTGACTTTACTTGACCAAGAGTTTTAGTGTCCAACACTTGTTTTTAGTAATTTCTGTGTTTTTTAATTCAAGTTCTAGAGCAAAAACATATGGCTCACTTTGAGTTAGGTTTTCACCCTAGTCCAATCAGTATTGCTGGAAAGTAGAGTGTCCTACACACCATTTCAGCAGGAGTGTAGGGGAAGGACACTGGCTGGGTGGGTTATGCAAATAGGTCTACTTGACTGCCGCAGAGTAAAACTCACAACTGCTTGCTGGATTCAGGTATTAAGGAAATGCCAGTGATTTCTTGTGGTGAGGTGGGGGGTAACTTTAAAATATGTCAGATTTTTGGTGAGATTGCAGGTGAATTTTATTTCATCTTTTAAACTTCTGATAGTTTCCAAATGTTTGTTATGTTTTATTTTGAAGAAAGAAAAATGCCATTCTTCTAAATTAACTCCTTTGTTTTTTAATAGTACTTTTTCTCTCAAACAGGTTAATATTCATACAGTAATCTTATTTATTTTTCAGGTTACAGAATATCTTTATGCTAATAAAATGGCTTTCCGATACCCAGAACCTGAGGACAAGGCCAAATATATCAGAGAAAAAATATGGCGAAGTGAATATGATTCTCTGCTGCCAGACGTATATGAGTGGCCAGAATCTGCATCAGGCCCTCCCCAGATAATGGAGTAGAAGTATGACCACCGATACATACTTCCCATGCTTCAGAAGCTCCCTTTTTTAAGACAAAAAGAGATAATGTTCTCAAATTAGCAGTTTTTCCTGTGCTTTATTCTCCCTGACCACTTTGCTTGGCTCATTTTTGTCCCATGAATCTACATCCAGGAGGTAAATGTGTTGGCTACATTGATAATGCCCCACCAGCACCTTGCAGTCAGATAACCATAATGCTTTCATTCTGATTTGTAATTCATACCACATCAAAGAGATGTTAAAATGTATTTGTGAATGTCTTTATTTGTGCTTCTGTTCACACTTGCCAAAGTATTTGCTATTTACTATCATAGTAATAATCTCTCACCCACCTCTTTTAGAGCTACTAAAATAGAAATTTACTTCTGTGGGTAGAATACAGAATTTTGAGAAGCAGCCATGTTTAACCAAATTTTAAGGACAGATTGTCAGTATTTAAAGTGTTCTTTCATTTCTGCTTCATTTTATTATCTTCATGCTCTGAAATTCCTTTCCAGTAGATAAGTCTAGAGAAATATGAAAAATCTACCCTATTATTTATTTTCTGGAACTAAATTAAAGCTTAACTAAAACATTGTGGGAGAAAAATGGGAACTACTGCAGCATTTACACAAAATAGTCATTTTTTTAACACTATATAAAATCATAGTGAAATTTTTTTATTTAAGATAATATCTTAAATTTAATTGCTTCAATTATGCTATTTTATTGCCAGAGAAGCAATACCCCTATTCCAATATTAATACTCTTTATTACTTGAGATAATTTTGGAATGCTCCTATGATACATTCTTTCAAATATCATTAGTGACAACTCTTTCTCTACTGAAGATGGACTAAATTTTTTGAAACTACCCAAATAAATTTAGAGCTAAGTGAAGATGAATAATGTTCTGTTCACACTAGGAAATGCTACTTTTAATCCCAGATTTTTTAAATGGGTAATAATTGACTATTGAAACCAGTCTTCTTCTGTGGCTTACATATTAGAGAGTTATAAAGGAAAATCCAAAAGCATTTTGAGAAGAAGTAGTATTTCTTTGTAGAAGCCTAACAGTTGCTTTGTGGGAACAAAACTCAAATGCTCATTAGAATATTAACTACAAAATACTCATAGCTGTGTGTCACATGCACACGATTCGATATTTCCCTTGGGGTTCCATGACACGCTGTCAGCTGTGAGATTCTGCAGGGAGAAAAGGGCTTCCTCTTTAAGTTCATCTTTCCTTCTACCTACAGGCAGAGATTGAGTCATAATAATTCTGAATATAACTCAGTGTTTTAGGAATGCTCAAAATGGCATTGCCATTTGGGGTATGAGAAAATGCAATTGGTTAATCCAGTTAACAAATGAGTAAAGTCAGAAGTCTATTCTGTAAATCTGTTTTGTAAAATAAGTAATGAGGTCACAATTTCTTTTAATCAAAGATGAAAGTTTATGTTTTTCATGTTGACTTTGTCAAAACAAAATTGCCCTCAAAAATATTCTTTGTGACATCTTGATTTCAGTTGAACATTCCAAGTATAAAAATTACAAACCTGTTTTTGCTTCGTGGTTTTTGAAGGCAGGAACATATGGCGAATTAAAGTAATTTTACTAAGATGTTTGCTCATCAAATATGTCTGATACAGTCCTCATGGAAATTATAAATATTTTAGGGAAAGCAAAGCCACATGGCATATAGCCTTATTTAAATAAGACAAACCTTACACATTTTTAAAAAGATACCTATTCTCATTATGTATTATTTGCCAACCAGTATTTTAAAGAGTAACAATTATTGGATGTAAATAAAAGAACAATATTAAATATTTACACTAAGAATACAGGCAGGAACTCATCAGCATGGCGTGCGGAGAGTGGCATAATGGCATCAAACTGGAAAAGAAACTAAAACATTTGGACCTTCTTTGGAAACTTTTACCTAGTGGGAAGGTAATTATTTTGAAAAACAGTAATGGAGAGTCATTTTCATTCTTCTGAGTAGAAAAGAAATTCTGTGGATTAGCCTGTCAAGTTATTTGGTGGTGAAAAGTGAGAATACATGTTTTTCTAATTCAGCATCACCACCTGCAGTATGAAACAAATTGGATAATTAGGGTAAAGTTTATTGACTAAAATGGGACAAGTTTGGTTAAAGTCTTTTAAGAGATGAATTTTTAAGCAGGAAATTGCCTCAAAATCACTTCTTTAAAATGCAGATACCTCTGCCCTCCCCTTCCAGGCCCACTGGACCATCAGGGGCAGAGGCAGGGCAGGTGTATTCCTCAGTGATTCTGATGCACCTGCTTCCCCTGCTCTTCCAATCTCTGACAGCAGACGTCTGAATCTTGTGCAGAGCTCGCCAATTGTCTCTGCTGATGCAGTGGGTCAGGAGTGGGGCCCGAGATTCTGATTTTCTTACAAGCTCAGGTGCTGCCCATGCTGGGGCAGAGAAGGCTCTGGGTGGTGTAGCTGCAGAGTGCTGACTGGTGTGCAGCCTTAGGTTTACTGCTCTTGTAAGTGTCTATAGGAAAATGGCAAACTACGTTCTTATATGGAATTTATTTCATTGATTTTTGTTACATAGTTTTTATAGGATGTTTATATGAAAAATTAACACAGAACTCTTAAGCAGATTTTTCAGAAAATACCTCACTAGAACATTGTTCAATTCTAAATTATAGATTTTGGATATATTTACTAAGTAAAGCCTAGCAACCCGTTTTCATTTATAGAAGGTTATCCATCAAAATGGTGTTTGTTCTTTTTGTCTTATGACTTGACGTACCCCATCCTTTCTTTTCTTCCTCTAAGTTGAGTAAGATTCTACATTCTTTTGCAAAGGAATTGCTGATGAATTAAGACCAAAGATGATAATTCTTAAGGGGTGTGGTGCATTATTTATTGCTCTCAGATAACTGAGGAAGCCCAGAGGGTATGGTAAGAGAGTGGGAAAACTGTTGCCTTAGCTAAAATACTTCATTCCAAATGCTCCTGTAGCTTGCTTCCAAGCCCATCCAGTATTCCTCAGAGATAAATGCATACTCGAACAGCTCCAGGGTTCTGCTGAATTCACCAAAACGGAATCAGCTCTGTTGAGCATACATAATACTTGAGAACATTAATACAAATCTTAAAACTCTCTACTGGGATTCCATTTAAAGGGACTGTCCTATAAATGAAATAGCACTGATGTATTTCAAGCCAAGACAAAACCACACAGTGAGGCATGAGCTCATTATTGACTTAATAGAAAATGGCACAGATTCATTGTCTACTTTGGCTCTCAACTATTTTGTGACTTGTACTCTGATATGCATCTTAATGTTAAGTCTTCAGACAAGCTGAATGAAGTAACATACTTAACATTTAAAATTTCAAGATACTAACTACAGAAAACGTGTACCTCATCAGAAATCGGGTTAAGATGATTTAATGTAAGCAGAGAAAAAGCTTAATGCTTTGTTTCAAACTTTAATAAATTAAACTGGACCTCATTAGGACAGGATTCTTTTTGCATAATTCCCTTAATCCTTGCCAGAAGTTACTCAGATAAACTAGTGATTAGATCTTAAAACAACAATTATTTTCCTTTCCTAGATAAGGAAAATGATGCCCCTCAAAGAGAAAAGTAGGTCAGGGAAATGTGTTCAGAGTTCAGTTGCATAAAATACACAAATTAAGTGAAACGGTTGGGATTATTTGTATCTTTCTATAACAGGCTTTTGCTGGTAAACTGACTATTTAATTTTGTTTTTTCCAAATAAAAATTATTTGCCACTTTGGGAAGCTATCTCTACATTGAGCACACTTTTTAAAGTTTTCAGACTAGGGAAATTTGTGGGTTTATATTCTCCAGTTCTCAGTAAGTCCTTTTATGTTCTAGAAAAATGACTTTCTTAATTTTAAGTGTATATTCTAGCAAATAACTGATTTCCTACATAGTCATAAATTATCACCAACACATTAGGCAAGTACAGTTACCGGACAACGATAAACTAAATTTTATGAAGAGCACCTAGTCTGTGTTGGGCATTGTTCTCAGCAGCTTACATGCATCAGCACATTTAATCCTTACAATCACCTTATATCACTGTACCTGTTTTACAGAGGATACAGGCACAGAGGGGCTAAATGCTTTCCTTGCCCAAGGTCTCTCAGGTGGTGAGTGGCAGAGCCACTCTCAAGGAAGGAGGGCCCTTATAATGGGTGATTTTTTCTGGATCTTAAATATCTTCAAGAATTGCTATTTCAGACACTGAGAAATGCTGGTGGTTACCATGAGGAAGTAAAGGGGGTGAGTGGGTGGAGAGGGTAAGGGGGACAAAAGAATTCTCAATCATAATGTAAGTTGTTTTCAGGGATGGTAGGACATCATAGAGAATACAGCCAATGATTCTGTAACATCCTCCTATGATGACAGATAGTAACTATACTAGTAGGTGCGAGGATTTAATAATGTGGGTAAACATTGGACCACTGTGTTGTATACTTAAAGTAATAATGTAAGTGATACTTACATAAAAAAAAAATTTTTTTTAAGAATTGCAATTGCAGATGAAAAAGTCTTCACCTATTCTTGAGTTTTAGGTGCTTTTTAATGTTTTACCAGTTCACTTGATTTATATCTTGTTCCTATTTATAATTCAAGTTCAAAGTAAACCTATTTTATTCATTAGTCTTCAGCACTTTAAATACTGGATATAAACATAAAAGACTCAATTTTGAATTTTATAAATTAATACCAAAGATTCTCAGTAGCCAGTTCACTAATACCTTTGGATTTGGTAATCTTCACAGAATCCACAACTGCTATGACTTCAGTGAACATCAATAGGACTTACAAATCTTGTGACTCTGCAGACATTGGTGTGAATCTGAATTATGTATTTTAAATGATATCTATTGTATATGTGCATATATATAACTTCTTCCATAGAAAGGTGAGAACAGAAAGTAGTAATACAAAATACATGTGTAGAATAAGGAATTTCTGAGAAGACCTATTTTAGCTAAATATTTAGTAAAGTAAAATGTCTGCATATTATTCTACTATACTTCGTCTAATCACCTTTAAAATTAACAGAAATTAAAACCATATTTTTGTAACTGATACTGTGTTCTTCTTGGTAACATCCCCATTACTCATTGACTTCACAGAAGCCCCGAGTTGGAAAGCATTGCTTAGCCTTTCTTACCTTTGTATTTAAGATAAACAGGAAATAAGTAATCTTGTGGTAATCGTGTGCGGGAATACTAGTTTAAGGGGAATGCCTTGTGCAGAGTCTGTCATACTGGATCAACTTACTAAATGGTTCCAGGAATCAGTCTAAAAACTTCATAATGTGAGTTGTTTTTTTTGATCTATAAATTATAACGAGATGTGTATTTTCTTAGTAAAATTTTCCTACACATAAAAAATGTGTTATGACCTCGTTTTTAAACGCTGCTGTACTTAGGGCACTTAGGAAACTTGTCATTATCTTAAACCTTAAAACACACACTGCAGAATACTCGAATACTCGACCCCTTAGGAATATAGTGTTAAGACAAATTCACACAGAAAGCCCTAGTGAAGCTTATCTTTCCAATTCTTGTCTTTCATTTCCCTACTCTTTCTTTTCTTATGTAGTTTAATCATAGCAGTAAAGGAATTATATCTCACCTCTTCTCCCTCATCACACCCACATCCCAAGGTCTACTGTTAGAATACTAAATCAGGAAAGATCATATGCTGATTCTGAACAAAAGGATGAGAAAAGGTGTAACAGCTAATACCCTGAGTACTTACCCCCAAGCCAGGCAACTGTTCTAACTACTGATATCTATGTACTCGTTTAAACTTCACAACCTTATGAGGTATCGGTACTAATATTTTGCCTGTTTTATGAATGTCGAATCTGAGGCACAGAGCCTTTAAGGTCACATAGCTACTAAAGTGGCAAAGCCAAGATTCAGACTTCTTGCATTGTGGTTCACCAAAACTCCAGTCCTGTTTAAACTAGACCCTCCACCTCCTCTGAGCACAGCCCAAGCAGCAGAACATGGCTGCGGAAAATCACAGCCATGCTGTCTACCTCACTAAGTCATAATCACTAACCAAGAAACCTTGAATACTCCTGGCCTTTCCGGCCCAGTGACTCTGACCCCCTCCCTGCTGCCAGACTCTGACATCCTCCCTCATCCTCTCTCTAGCAGACAGCCTTGCTTCCTGTTTCATAGAGAAATGGGACAATCAGAAGAGAATGACCCCAAGCTGCCCTTCCCTCCTCATCTCTCCAGGTACCTTGAGAAAGTGAAAAGCAGCAGCTCCTGTATCCCAGGAGCTGGCCTGATACAACAGGCAGCCCTCACGGCAGGAGCTCGGACGAGGCATTGGTGTTCTGTTGAAACAAACCATCTCATGAACAACAGACAAGGCCTCACTGACCATAATGGATCAAGACAAAAGCAAGGCCACTCCATCATCATAACTACACACGTATAAAACACGGGTATTGTCCAAACCACAGAAATGACCACCCCTGACCCCCATCCTGGCTAGAAGCTGGCATTACTAATACTTTACCAATTATAGTTTTGGCCTCAATCTAGTCTGTACTCCCTATAGATAAGATTTATTGAGATAACTAATAGAACTGTTCCACTTCTTGACAGCACCCAATCCAGAGTGAACCCTGACTTTTGAGGATCCTGTGCAAAACCACCCACCCAAAACTCAAATCCTGTAATAGGAGCCTTCTAATACCCTCTTAATGAGACATCCCACAGCTCCCCATGGTGTGTGTTCTCCCTCACTGCAAAAAGTAGTAAAAATCCAACCTGGTCACAATCAGTGGTATGTTCCTGGTGGTCTTTGGCTGGAGGGCAGTGACCCTGCATCTGCACCCATGTGCCTGAGAACGAACTACACTCCTGTCAACCAGCACCAGCCCCTCCACTTGGGCACTAGCCGCCACTGCCTCTCACCCATCCATTCTCCCTTCTCTACATCATCAATTTCCCCACTGCTGGATCTCCAGCATGCTGGCTGGGGTTAGGAGGACTCTTGACTCCTCTTCAGCTTCCACTGTTGCCCCATGTCCCTAATACAGCCTCACTGGATCCTTTAATCTGTTCATCCAGGGGTGGAGAGGGTCTCTGAATTGTTTTAGCCAACCCACCTATGTCAAATACCTTGCATTTTAACAATGAAAGCCCATTTCTAACATTCTTCATGCTGATTAACAAGTTACTAGAGTCACCAATGAAATCTTATTTTTTTTTACATTCTATATGCTACTATGCAAAGCATTGATATTTGATCAACATGATAATAGCAGAAAGTCTTGTGGTAGCTACCTTTGCAGTGTAGCCCTTTCTGATATAAGATGCTCTCTAGAACTCTTGATAATGCACTGAATGACCACCCTGAAAATTAAAACAAATTCATCAACATAAACTTAATATCACAAGAATACACTCAAATATTTTAAAATTGTTTTAATTTTTTAAAAAATGTAAATTACAGCCATTGTAGTAATTCATCTGTACCAATTTGATTTGAAAATGGTCACTACAGGCAGATTTGAGAGAATGGTGTTTAAAAACGCTACCAAGAAGGTAAAGAACTAGCTCATTTGACTGCAATCCAAGTGCTACTATTGCAAAGAGAAACACAGCATATTTGAGAAATGAATTGAGAAACAAGCAGGTTTGGTTGAAGAAAGCAAAAGTTCTGTGTTCGTCAGTTAATTTTGAGGTGCATATTGGACAGACTTAGGGTGACAGCATCCAGCGCTATCATTTTGGAGTGATTCCCCACTACGTAGAGCATTGCAGAAAATAGAAGGTGCTGCATTCCTCTATGGAAGCCAAAGCTAGTAGGGAGAAAATCCTGATTCCCTACCTCATGGCCGCCTAGAACAGGGGTGACTATCTAGTGTTGGTGTGTCAATGGCAGGGCCCTAAGAAGGCACTGAGGCAAGGCCTGGGCTCTGGTTCCTGCTGCCTTCACTAGATCGTGTTTACCCTCAATTCTGTGTGCTCTCCAATTTCCTTTCAATCTGCTTAAATTAGCCAAAATTTATTTCTATGCTTGTACGCAATAATTCTGATTGACATCCTATTAAGACATCAACTGTTTCTTTTTTTTAGAGTATAAGACATCAAATATTTATAAATATGTATATTATAGCCCATGCAACTAGACATTAAGCAAATTGAGGGCTGAGATGTTTTTCTGTTTATTTTGTATACTTTCAAAATCCTCTAGTTCAAGTCTCTCTATATTAATTTAAGCGACACTTGATTTCACATAATCAAATGATCAACAAAAAAGTTTCTGAATATTGTTCAAATGAGGAAAATAAAATCATGGAGTTTTCCATGTTAGTACTTTGTTGACCGTGAAACTTGCTCACTGCTTTTTACTAATTTGTAATGTTCTAATGTTTTATTATCCTTCCCCTTAATTCCAGGTCATTTATACCTGTATATTAGGTAATAGGTAGGTTCATTTACTGTTTCAAGAAGACCATTATTATATTACATGCAGGTTACCTCTAAGCAGAAAATGGGAGAAAAAAGAAATGGAAGCTTTCTCCTCTCTGTATAAATTACATTATTAGATGTGCTAGGTATCACTTAGGAATGTCTCCCATTTGAGTGACAATTTACAAGCATTTTCAACGAACAACATTTAGTTTTTATAACAAAAGGTTGAGGCAAGAAGAGCAATTATTATCCTCCTTTTACCAATGGAAAAATAGAGACTTGGCAAAGTTCAATAACCTGGCCAATGTCACCCAAATATAAAGGGACAAAATTAAGACTCAAAATGTTTTTTGACTCAAAAGTTCATGCTTTTAAGCAATGCAAAAAAGACAAATGACAGACTGGGGAGATATTTGCAACTTACATTATAGTTAAACAATTATTATCCCGTATATATTGAAAACACCTAAATTGAGAAGAAAAAACTACCACTATAAAAAAAATGAGCAAAAGATATGCATAGAAAGTTCACAAAAAAAGAAATGCAAATGGTCCTTAAATTTATGGAAAGATATTCAACACAGCTCATTTATGTAAAGGGAATGCAAATTTGAAGTACAGTAAGATGTGTAAGATTGGCAAAAATCCAAAAGTGTAACAACTTGAATGATGGTGAGGCTCAGATAAAAGGGACTCTGATAAATTGCTAATGGAAGGTGAAATGGTACAATCCCCATGGAGAGAATTTTAGCAATCTCTAGCAAAATTATACATGCATTTACCTGTTAAACCATTAAACCCATTTGTAGGAATCTATGCAAAATATTTACTTGCAAAAATAAAGAAAAATAACTTATGCCCAATGCTACTTGTTACCGCACTGTGATAGCAAAGACTGGAAACAACCCCAAGGACTGACTGGTTAAACTATGCTATAACCATTTGGTATTAAATAGCTGTGAAAGGAGTGAGGAAGATATATGTATGCTGATACAGGGGCATGGCAGTTGAGAATGTGTGCTGCTTGGAACTTCCTTCCCCAAATAATTTTCTGTTCGGCTGTAAGGATTGCATCTTTACTTGTGCTTTTTGTTTTTTCATGTGGATTTCAGTTACCATGTGGGGGTCACTTGCTTTCAGCCTAAAGAAATTCCATTAGTATTTCTTGTTAGAAAAAGTCTATTAGCAATAAATTCTTTGTTTTGTTCACTTGGGAATGTCCTTATTTCACCTTCATTATGAAAGATAGCTTTGCCAGACTTAGGACTTGGTTGACAGGTTTATAATTTGTGCACTTTGAGTATATTATCCCACAGATTTCTGGCTTCCATTGTTTCTGATAAGAAGTCCACTGTTAATCTTATTGAGGTTTCCCTTATAAATGATGAGTCTTTTTGTTGTTGAAAGCAGCCTTTCCCTGCTTTCAAACATTTCCCCTTTTCTTTCCTTTCAGCATCTTTACTATGATGTGACTGCGGATTTATTTGTGTTTATCCTGTCTAGAATTTGTTGAGCTGCCTGGATGAAGACATTATTGCTGGGAAGTTTCTGACCATTATTTCTTTGAGTATTTTTCTGCTTCTTTTCCCATCTTAGTGGTACTCTTATTACATGCATGGTAGTGTGGTAATGGTGTTGCACATTTCTTTGAGGTTCTACTCATTTTTCTTTTTTGTTGTTGTTGTTGTTCTTTGGATTGCATAATTTCTGTCAATCTAGCTTCAAGCTTGTTAATTCTGTCTTCTCTGTAAATCCAAATCTACTCTTGAACCCCTCCACTGAATTTTTTCATTTCAGTTACTATAACAATTTTTTTATTGAGGTATCATTGATATACACTCTTATGAAGGTTTCACATGAAAAACAATGTGGTTACTACATTCACCCATATTATCGTCTGCCCCGTACCCCATTGAAGTCACTGTCCATCAGTGTAGTAAGATGCC